CTCTCTACCCTCTCTCTCAACCCCCTCTCTCTTTCTACCCCCTCTCTCTACCCCCCCCCTCTCTCTCTACCCCTCTCTCTCTCTACCCCCTCTCTCTCTCTACCCTCTCTCTCTACCCCCTCTCTCTTTCTACCCCCTCTCTCTACCCCCCCCCCTCTCTCTCTACCCCTCTCTCTCTCTACCCCCTCTCTCTCTACCCCCTCTCTCTCTACCCCCTCTCTCTACCCCCTCTCTCTCTCTACCCCCTCTCTCTCTACCCCCTCTCTCTCTATCCCCCCTCTCTTTCTACCCCCTCTCTCTACCCCTCTCTCTCTACCCCCTCTCTCTCTACCCCTCTCTCTCTCTACCCCTCTCTCTCTCTAACCCTCTCTCTCTACCCCCTCTCTCTCTACCCCTCTCTCTCTACCCCCCTCTCTCTCTCTACCCCCTCTCTCTCTACCCCCTCTCTCTCTCTACCCCCTCTCTCTCTACCCCTCTCTCTCTCTACCCCTCTCTCTCTCTACCCCTCTCTCTCTCTACCCCCTCTCTCTCTACCCCTCTCTATCTACCCCCTCTCTATCTCTACCCCCTCTCTCTCTACCCCCTCTCTCTCTACCTCCCCTCTCTTTCTACCCCCTCTCTCTACCCCTCTCTCTCTACCCCCTCTCTCTCTACCCCTCTCTCTCTACCCCCTCTCTCTCTACCCCCCTCTCTCTCTACCCCTCTCTCCCTACCCCCTCTCTCTCTACCCACTCTCTCTCTCTGCCCCTCTCTCTCTACCCCTCTCTCTCTACCCCATCTTTCTCTACCCCCTCTCTCTCTCTACCCCCTCTCTCTACCCCCTCTCTCTGCCTCCCTCTCTCTCTACCCCCTCTCTCTCTACCCCCTCTCTCTGCCTCCCTCTATCTCTACCCCCTCTCTCTCTACCCCCTCTCTCTCTACCCTCTCTCTCTCTACCCCCTCTCTCTCGACCCCCTCTCTCTCTACCCCTCTCTCTCTACCCCCTCTCTCTCTACCCCCTCTCTCTCTACCCCCTCTCTCTCTCTACCCCCCTCTCTCTCTCTACCCCTCTCTCTCTCTCTACCCCCTCTCTCTCTACCCCTCTCTCTCTACCCCCTCTCTCTCTACCCCCTCTCTCTACCCCCCCCTCTCTTTCTACCCCCTCTCTCTACCCCCTCTCTCTCTCCACCCCTCTCTCTCTCTCTACCCCTCTCTCTCTCTACCCCCTCTCTCTCTACCCCCTCTCTCTCTCTACCCCCTCTCTCTCTACCCCCTCTCTCTCTACCCCATCTCTCTCTACCCCATCTCTCTCTACCCCCTCTCTCTACCCCCTCTCTCTGCCTCCCTCTCTCTCTACCCCCTCTCTCTCTCTACCCCCTCTCTCTCTACCCCCTCTCTCTCTACCCCCTCTCTCTCTCTCTACCCCCTCTCTCTCTACCCCCCATCTCTCTCTACCCCCCCCCCCTCCTGAACCCTGACAAGACGGCTTCCCCGTCGTGACGTCACAAGCCTGGGTTCGAAATGGCTGCGTCACGGCCACAGATTCTGGGAAGTGTTTCTTGCTCTCTCTCTCTATAAATATCTCTCGCTTGATCTGACTCTCTTCTTTTTACGATCACAGGAAAGATTAAAGATGCTCGGTGTGTTCGGCACTTAGCTTCGTTCATCGTTTCGTTTTCTTTGTTTTTTAATGCTTTGCTTTATATAAACCCCCCTCCCCCCCCCCCCTTTAAAATGAAAGACCCAACAACAAAATATGTTTTTCTCTCCTTTCCCCTTCCCTCTCTCTCTCTACCCCCTTCTCCGCCCCCCCCCCCCCCCCCTCTCTCTCTCTGCCCCCTCTCTTCCTACTCCATTTGGCTCTCTCTTGCTCTCTCTTTTCATCTCTCTCCATCCACTCCCCCTCGCTCTCTCTCTCTCTCCATCTCTCTCTCCATCTCTCTCTCTCCATCCACTCCTCCTCGCTCTCTCCATCTCTCTCCATCTCTCTCCATCCACTCCCCCTCGCTCTCTCCATCTCTCTCCATCTCTCTCTCTCCATCCACTCCCCCTCGCTCTCTCCATCTCTCTTTCCATCTCTCTCCATCTCTCTCCATCCACTCCCCCTCGCTCTCTCTCTCTCCATCTCTCTCCATCCACTCCCCCTAGCTCTCTCCTCTCTCTCCATCTCTCTCTCCTCTCTCTCTCTCTCCATCTCTCTCCATCCACTCCCCTCGCTCTCTCCATCTCTCTCTCTCTCCATCTCTCTCCCCGCCTCTCTCTCTCCATCTCTCTCCATCCTACTCCCCCTCGCTCTCTCCATCTCTCTCTATCTCTCTCCATCTCTCTCTCCCCCTCCCTCTCTCTCTCCATCTCTCTCCCCCCTCTCTCTCCATCTCTTTCACTCCACCTCTCTCTCCTTCTCTCTCTCGGTCTCCCTCTGTCCATCTTCTTCCCTCTGCCTCCCTCCCTCCCTCTCTAGCCCCGGTATGTTAACTCCCTCGCCTACTATGCAGGAGGTTGTGGGTTTAATCCCGACCCTCACAATCCCTGCTGCTGTGTATTTGGAGTCTGCATTTATCTCTCATCCCCGTGGTGGCCAATGTGGTCTCTATGCAACTCTATGAGTCTCTATTTGACTCTGTGGGTCTCATTGCAACTCTATGGGTGTCTATGCAACTCTATGAGTCTCTATACAACTCTATGGGTCTCTATGCAACTCTATGAGTCTCTATGCAACTCTATGGGTCTCTATACAACTCTATGGGTCTCTATGTAACTCTATGGGTCTCTATGCAACTCTATGGGTCTCTATGTAACTCTATGGGTCTCTATGTAACTCTGTGGGTCTCTATGTAACTCTATGGGTCTCTATTTGACTCTATGGGTCTCTATGTAACTCTATGGGTCTCTATGTAACTCTATGGGTCTCTATGTAACTCTATGGGTCTCTATGTAACTCTATGGGTCTCTATGTAACTCTATGAGTCTCTATGTACCTCTATGGGTCTCTATGTAACTCTATGGGTCTCTATGTAACTATATGGGTCTCTATGTAACTCTATGGGTCTCTATGTAACTCTATGGGTCTCTATGTAACTCTATGGGTCTCTATGTAACTCTATGAGTCTCTATGTAACTCTATGAGTCTCTATGTAACTCTATGGGTCTCTATGTAACTCTATGGGTCTCTATGTAACTCTATGGGTCTCTATGTAACTCTATGGGTCTCTATGTAACTCTATGAGTCTCTATGTAACTGTATGGGTCTCTATGTACCTCTATGGGTCTCTATGTAACTCTATGGGTCTCTATGTAACTCTATGGGTCTCTATGTAACTCTATGGGTCTCTATGTAACTCTATGGGTCTCTATGTAACTCTATGGGTCTCTATGTAACTATATGGGTCTCTATGTAACTCTATGGGTCTCTATGTAACTCTATGAGTCTCTATGTAACTCTATGGGTCTCTATGTAACTCTATGGGTCTCTATGTAACTCTATGGGTCTCTATTTGACTCTATGGGTCTCTATGCAACTCTATGAGTCTCTATGTAACTGTATGGGTCTCTATGTAACTCTTTGAGTCTCTATGTAACTCTATGGGTCTCTATGTGACTCTATGGGTCTCTATGTAACTCTATGGGTCTCTATGTAACTCTATGGGTTTCTATGTAACTCTATGAGTCTCTATGCAACTCTATGGGTCTCTATGTAACTCTATGGGTCTCTATGTAACTGTATGGGTCTCTATGTAACTCAATGGGTCTCTATGCAACTCTATGGGTTTCTATGTAACTCTATGGGTCTCTATGCAACTCTATGAGTCTCTATGTAACTCTATGGGTCTCTATATAACTCTATGGGTCTCTATTTGACTCTATGGGTCTCTATGCAACTCTATGAGTCTCTATGTAACTGTATGGGTCTCTATGCAACTCTATGGGTCTCTATGTAACTCTATGAGTCTCTATGTAACTCTATGGGTCTCTATGTAACTCTATGGGTCTCTATTTGACTCTATGGGTCTCTATGTAACTCTATGGGTCTCTATGCAACTCTATGGGTCTCTATGTAACTCTATGGGTCTCTATGTAACTCTATGGGTCTCTATGTAACTCTATGAGTCTCTATGTAACTGTATGGGTCTCTATGTAACTCTATGGGTATCTATGCAACTCTATGGGTGTCTATGTAACTCTATGGGTCTCTATGCAACTCTATGAGTCTCTATGTAACTTTATGGGTCTCTATGTAACTCTATGGGTCTCTATTTGACTCTATGGGTCTCTATGCAACTCTATGAGTCTCTATGTAACTGTATGGGTCTCTATGCAACTCTATGGGTCTCTATGTAACTCTATGAGTCTCTATGTAACTCTATGGGTCTCTATGTAACTCTATGGGTCTCTATTTGACTCTATGGGTCTCTATGTAACTCTATGGGTCTCTATGCAACTCTATGGGTCTCTATGTAACTCTATGCGTCTCTATGTAACTCTATGGGTCTCTATGTAACTCTATGAGTCTCTATGTAACTGTATGGGTCTCTATGTAACTCTATGAGTCTCTATACAACTCTATGAGTCTCTATGTAACTCTATGAGTCTATACGGAAGGCCTTCACAGCAGAAGCCAAACACTGCTGAGAAAGGTTCGTTACCCGAAATGTCGAGGATGGGGGGAGGGGGGCGGTGAGGGTGGGGGTTGGGGGGGGGGCTGTGGGTGGGGGGAGTTTGGGAGGAGCGGTGGCGCAGCGGTTAGCGCTCCGCTCAGAACCTGGCTTCGATGGTGTGGCGATGTGGAGCGAACATCGCCACTGGGGAGACAAAGGCGGCCGGGCGTGGTGGTTTCCTGGCCAACCCTTCATAGGCGCTGCTGCTGCTGCTAATCGCCAACAGCACTTGCCCCCAAAGTTCTATGCAGGCTACACGGGGGATCTTTGTCTCTTGTATGGGGGGGGGGAGTGGGTGGGTGGGTGCGTGGGGGCGTACGGGCGGGCCTTTATGCTAATGAGCTGGGCGGGGTGTTTATTATGGTAATGAGGTGTGGCTGGGCGTGGTTATGCTAATGAGCACAGGTTTAAATTGCCTCTCGGGTGTCGGTAGCAGAGGGCATTGCTTAGATCGGCAGCGGCGTCAGAGGTGACTGAAGTGACAGGAGGGACGTGATGGGCAAATCGCTGCCTCGAGTGATGGTGGTGGTGATGGTGGTGGCGATGACGGTGGCGATGATGGCTACGGAGGGGATGGCAGGTGAGTGATGGTGGTGATGGTGGTGGTGGTGAGTGGGTGAATGAGTGGGTGAGGTGGATGCGTGCGTGGGTGAGTGAGTGGGTGAGTGGGTTGGTGGATTAGTGAGTAAATGAGTGGGTGGGTGAGTGAGTGGGTTGATGGGTGAGTCAGTGGTAAATGAGTTGGTGAGTCAGTGGGTGGTTGAGTGAGTGGGTGATTTGGTTAGTTGGTGGGTGAGTGAGTGGTTAAGTGAGTTAGGTGGATGAGTGCGTGGGTGAGTGAATGGGTGGGTGAGTGAGTGGGTTGATGGGTGAGTCAGTGGTAGGTGAGTTGCTGAGTGAGTGGGTGAGTGGTTGAGTGAGTGGGTGAGTGAGTGGATGAGTAGTTGAGGGAGAGTTGGTTAGTTGGTGGGTGAGTGAGTGTTTGAGTGGGTTGGGTGGGTGAGTGAGTGGGTTGATGGGTGAGTCAGTGGTAGGTGAGTTGGTGAGTGAGTGGGTGAGTGGTTGAGTGAGTGGGTGAGTGAGTGGGTGAGTAGTTGAGGGAGAGTTGGTTAGTTGGTGGGTGAGTGAGTGTTTGAGTGGGTTGGGTGGGTGAGTGAGTGAGTTGATGGGTGAGTCAGTGGTAGGTGAGTTGGTGAATGAGTGGGTGAGTGGTTGAGTGAGTGGGTGAGTGGGTGAATTGGTTAGTTGGTGGGTGAGTGAGTGGGTGAGTGGTTGATTGAGTGGGTGAGTGGGTGAGTGAGTGGGTGACTGAGTGGGTGGGTGAGTGGGTTGATGGGTGAGTCAGTGGTAGGTGAGTTAGTGAGTGAGTGGGTGAGTGGTTGAGTGAGTGGGTGAGTAGTTGAGGGTGAGTTGGTTAGTTGGTGGGTGAGTGAGTGGTTGAGTGAGTTAGGTGGATGAGTGCGTGGGTGACTGAGTGGTTGGGTGAGTGAGTGTGTTGATGGGTGAGTCAGTGGTAGGTGAGTTGGTGAGTGAGTGGGTGAGTGGTTGAGTGAGTGGGTGAGTGGGTAAGTAGTTGAGGGTGAGTTGGTTAGTTGGTGGGTGAGTGGTTGAGTGAGTGGGTGAGTGGGTGAGTGGATGAGTTGGTTAGTTGGTGGGTGAGTGAGTGGTTGAGTGAGTTAGGTGGATGAGTGCGTGGGTGACTGAGTGTTTGGGTGAGTGAGTGTGATGATGGGTGAGTCAGTGGTAGGTGAGTTGGTGAGTGAGTGGGTGAGTGGTTGAGTGAGTGGGTGAGTTGGTTAGTTGGTGGGTGAGTGAGTGGTTGAGTGGGTTAGGTGGATGAGTGCGTGGGTGACTGAGTGGGTGGGTGAGTGAATGGGTTGATGGGTGAGTCAGTGGTAGGTGAGTTGGTGAGTGAGTGGGTGAGTGGATGAGTCAGTGGGTGAGTGAGTGGGTGAGTGGTTGAGTGAGTGGGTGAGTAGTTGAGGGTGAGTTGGTTAGTTGGTGGGTGAGTAAGTGTTTGAGTGGGTTATGGTGGGTGAATAAGTGGGTTGATTGGTGAGTCAGTGGTAGGTGAGTTAGTGAGTGAGTGGGTGAGTGGTTGAGTGAGTGGGTGAGTGGTTGAGTGAGTGGGTGAGTGGTTGAGTGAGTGGGTGAGTGGGTGAGTTGGTTAGTTGGTGGGTGAGTGAGTGGTTGAGTGAGTTAGGTGGATGCGTGCGTGGATGAGTGGGTGAGTTTGTGGGTTGATGGGTGAGTGAGTCAGTGGTAGGTGAGTTGGTGAATGAGTGGGTGAGGTGGATGCGTGCGTGGGTTAGTGAGTGAGTGTGTGAGCGAGTGGGTTGGTGGATTAGTGAGTAAATGAGTGGGTGGGTGAGTGAGTGGGTTGATGGGTGAGTCAGTGGTAGGTGAGTTGGTGAGTGAGTGAGTGGTTGAGTGAGTGGGTGAGTGGGTGAGTAGTTAAGTGGGTGAGTTGGTTAGTTGGTGGGTGAGTGAGTGGTTGAGTGAGTGAGTTAGGTGGATGCGTGTGTGGGTGAGTGAATGGGTGGATTGATGGGTGAGTCAGTGTTAGGTGAGTTTGTGAGTGAGTGGGTGAGTGAGTGGGTGAGTGGTTGAGTGAGTTGGTGAGTAGTTGAGGGTGAGTTGGTTAGTTGGTGGGTGAGTGAGTTTTTGAGTGGGTTGGGTGGGTGAGTGTGTGGGGTGATGGATGAGTCAGTGGTAGTTGAGTTGGTGAGTGAGTGGGTGAGTGGTTGAGTGAGTGGGTGAGTGGGTGAGTTGGTTAGTTGGTGGGTGAGTGAGTGGTTGAGTGAGTTAGGTGGATGAGTGCGTGGGTGACTGAGTGGGTGGGTGAGTGAATGGGTTGATGGGTGAGTCAGTGGTAGGTGAGTTGGTGAGTGAGTGGGTGAGTGGGTGACTGAGTGTTTGGGTGAGTGAGTGGGTTGATGGGTGAGTCAGTGTTAGGTGAGTTGGCGAGTGAGTGGGTGAGTGGTAGGTGAGTTGGTGAGTCAGTGGTAGGTGAGTTGGTGAGTGAGTGGTTGAGTGAGTGGGTCAGTGGGTGAGTAATTGAGTGGGTGAGTTGGTTAGTTGGTGGGTAAGTAAGTGGTTAAGTTGGTTAGGTAGATGAGCACATAGGTGAGTGAGTGGGTGAGTGAGTGGGTTGGTGGGATAGTGAGTAAATGAGTGCGTGGGTGAGTGAACTGTCGGGCAAAAGAGTGGGTGAATGACTCAATGAGTCAGTGGGTGGGCAAGTGAATGGGCGGATGAGTGAGTGACTTTGTGGGTGAGTGATTGAGCCGTTAAATCAGTGACTAGATTGGTGAGTGAATGAGTGGGGCGAGTGAGTAGGTGAATGGACGAGTGGGTGAGTGATTTGGTTGGTAAATGAGTGGGTGGTGATGATGGGAATGACGCTGCTGATGGCGATGATGTCACAGCAGTCTAACGAGACCGCCTAGAGATGGCATCTCATCAGCACCAGCAGCATTGCTTCAGCGCATGCAAACAAACTCTGGACCGGGTTTCGACATCAAGTGTCTCATCAGCAGCAGAGCAAGGCTCTGCTTGAACTTGAAAATATATTTTTTATTTTTTTATTTAAAGCTTTCGTGACTGCAGGGATTCATATTCTTGGTTCTTTCGGTTAAAGTCACGGAGAAGGGAAACAATAAAATAATAAAAATATAAAACTATAAAATTCTCACGGCGTTTCGACTGCAACACAAGAAGCAATCATCATCATCATCAGGTGTGAAAACCACAGCAAAGAAAATTTGAAAAAAGTGGCGGGATTATTTTCGTCTCCCCCCCACTCCTCTTTCACGAACACAGATGGACTCGTCCATCTGAACAAAACTGTCAAATCGCTCTCCGTGGTGCTAATGTTAAAAATAAATACAAACACCGCTTTTATAAAGAAATAAATACAAACCGCCACTTCTTTCAAATGTTCTTGCCGTGGTTTTCACACCTGATGATGATTGCTTATCATGTTGCAGTCGAAACGTCGTGAGAATTTTATTGTTTTATATTTTTATTATTATTTTATTGTTTCCCTTCTACGTGGTGGTGACTTTACGGAAAGAACCAAGAATAATAATTTTATTGTTTTACAATAATTTTATTGTTTTATATTTTTATTATTTTATTGTTTTCCCTTCTACGTGGTGGTGACTTTACCGAAAGAACCAAGAATAATAATTTTATTGTTTTACAATAATTTTATTGTTTTATATTTTTATTATTTTATTGTTTCCCTTCTACGTGGTGGTGGTGACTTTACCGAAAGAACCAAGAATAATAATTTTATTGTTTTACAATAATTTTATTGTTTTATATTTTTATTATTATTCTATTGTTTCCCTTCTACGTGGTGGTGACTTTACGGAAAGAACCAAGAATAATAATTTTATTGTTTTACAATAATTTTATTGTTTTATATTTTTATTATTTTATTGTTTTCTCTTCTACGTGGTGGTGACTTTACCGAAAGAACCAAGAATAATAATTTTATTGTTTTACAATAATTTTATTGTTTTATATTTTTATTATTTTATTGTTTCCCTTCCACGTGGTGGTGGTGACTTTACCGAAAGAACCAAGAATAATAATTTTATTGTTTTACAATAATTGTATTGTTTTATATTTTTATTATTATTCTATTGTTTCCCTTCTACGTGGTGGTGACTTTACGGAAAGAAAGAATATAATTTTATTGTTTTACAATAATTATTGTTTTATATTTTTATTAATTTATTGTTTTCCCTTCTACGTGGTGGTGACTTTACCGAAAGAACCAAGAATATAATGGGTTTTTTTTATTTCATTTCAATAGGTGTAAGGCTCCACTGAGTTATGTAGCTCTAACGAAGTGGCTAATCAGGTATACATTTAGAGCATCAGACAAGTACTCTAAACGCGTGACGTTCATTCTAAATGTAGAGGGGAAAACCAGAGGACAGGGAGAGAAATCCAGGCGACGATGGGGACAGAGAGATGATGAAGAGACGCAGACTCCCGATATACATCAGGCATCTTCCAGGGTCTGGGATCGAACCCACGACCTCCTGCATACCAGGCGAACTAGTTAACATCCTCTAGGGTCCGGGATCGAACCCACGACCTCCTGCATACCAGGCGAACTAGTTAACATCCTCTAGGGTCCCGGATCGAACCCACGACCTCCTGCATACCAGGCGAGGTAGTTAACATCTCGCAGGGTCCCGGATCGAACCCAGGACCTCCTGCATACCTGGCGAGGTAGTTAACATCCTCCAGGGTCCGGGATCGAACCCACGACCTCCGGCATACCAGGCGAGGTAGTTAACATCTCACAGGGTCCGAGATCGAACCCACGACCTCCTGCATACCAAGAGAGGTAGTTAACATCTCACGGGTTCCGGGATCGAACCCACAACGTCCTGCACACCAGGCGAGGTGGTTAACATCTCACAGGGTCCGGGATCGAACCCACAACGTCCTGCATACCAGGCGAGGTAGTTAACATCTCGCAGGGTCTGGGATCAAACCCACGACCTCCTGTATACCAGGCGAGGTTGTTAACATCTCGGAGGGTCCGGGATCAAACCC